ATACAGATATCATTCACTTCCTGAGCAGTGTGAGCCAGGCTCCTGTGCAAAAAATACATAAAGAAGTTGGGGAATTGCTTGGTAATTCAAATAAGGTGGAGGAAGTCACAGAACACGGGCTGCTGAAGAAAATGGCACAAAGCTCAGCCCTGTTCTGCAAAGAGCCAACTTCAATCCTCACACCTCATCTCCTCTCACTCCATGTTCCACTATGTGCCTTCTGGCTTTTGGCCAAACAGTTTGATACACGTGGCTTGTACAGGCCAGTGTTTGCTTTAATACATTAACCCTTTGCTGTGCAATAATTGTACAAAGCTTGTCCATCAAAAGACCTCAGTCTTGCCAGGTACTGATGACCTTCCCTGACTGCGATCTTGTATTTAGGAATATTTTTATCCTACAACGCAACATACATCTTACATTTGCAAATGTTAAATTTTGAATTGAGAAAAGGGCAGGCAAGCACAGACACAAGTATCACACAGAAGGTGTGTGATGAACTAAAGAAACACAGCTGAGCTATAAAGCTCCATCCAACACGTTAAGGTTCTTTCAAAATGAGAGTAGGTATCTTTAAATATTGGCCTACCCCAATGCAAATGCAACTAAACTGATGATAAAAATACTCAAATTATCATTTCCTGGCAAAAACACTAATACTTAAGGGTCCCCAAAACTATCTGCATATGTGAAATAAATGGCCTTTGAAAATCTACTACAGCTTACATTGGCCAAAGTAATGAAAAATTACTATGGAAATGAAAACATGGGTAATTAAAAAAGACACAAAATGTTCTCCACAATTTTGAAAGCATTATTACATGCTGCTTTAAACTAAACACATTTGCAAAAATAACTTGTAACATACATCAAGATCTGATGGATGCTGAAAATAAAGTTTAAAGTGAGCTTAGACAATGATCTTCACAGAGTCACAATCAATGAGACTTCTGCTACTAATTTCTGCTAAGAAGCTGCATCTGTTTGTGCTGCTTTTAACCTGTAGAGATTAAGAAAGGTCTGCTACTTAAAATTGATTACAGAAATGTTTACTGCACCTGTACAATACTATTCTGATACATTTTCTTGAACAAACAGCTGCTCATACAGTAACAGTAGAGTTGAAATAGAACTCTTCCTCTACAACTTTTTGACCACATTCCTATCTTTCAGGTCCCTACCCTGGAACTTGAGGTATAATCCAAGCAAGAGTTAAGATTCCAAGATTTCAAGCCATACAGTGAGGTGGCACCTGACTATTTCCATCTTTCCTCTACAATCCTAGCAAGAGGATTGTAGCCATGCATTTGAAAGCTTCTTTCTTCTCCATTATGTCCTAGCTTTAGTAATGGAACTTCATTATCTTTTTCCAATTTTTATAAATTCCATTTTTTTACCTTTTAAGGCAGGAAGGCAATACTACAAGAATATTTTCTTCATTCACTGCTTTGACTACAGTTCTCTGTAGTCTTCCTGATGCACCATAACATCAACAACTTCCTTGCTCTCAATTTCAAGGCTCTGCATGGCCTGTTCTTGCTCCATCTCTTAAATCTGAATTGCTGCTCTGTACAGATACCCCCTTGTCAAAATGTCAGGAAGAAAACAGGAGTGTTGGCCTGGCAGTTCAGGCAGGAAACCAGTTATCTGTGAAAATCCTCGGGGTGACAATGCTACCCTGCTTTAAATATATCCTCCAAGTAGGATGCCTGTGAATCATTCCCCGATGCTGAGATAGCCAGGGCACTTGAACTTCTGCATGTTCTCTTGCTCACAGCATTCTCACAGCTCCCTTGTGCTTTCCCAATACATTTCCTACGTTTACATGCTACCTTATCTTTACATTTAAATTAAGAAATTGTTTGTGCAGGAACAACCTTTGCTTATGCATTTGTACTGCATGTAGTGTAGTGGTGCCCTGGCCCCTAGGCACAATTACAATATAAATAATAAAAATTAACTGTTCACCTAAGATTAACTCTCCTGACAGTGCTACGTGAAGCTACATCCTTCAAACAATGACAAAAGGCTGTTCCAGCACCACATTCTATCATCTCTACCTCTCTTCAGGTACTGATGACACTGATTCCCAGTTCTTCATCTACAGGAGGCCTCCACTGTTCCCTGTATTTATCTTTGCCCACAGCACCACTGGAATTTTTCCTGATAACCAGGTAAAATGCAGAATGAGATGTGGGCAAGCACTGTCCTACTGAAGAAACCTCTGCTCCCTTAACATAAACCTACTTCTGGGAAAAGTTGAGAATCCCTAGCATCTCACAGGAGCAGATTCAAGGCAGTTTTCCATCTGTCTGCTTAAACCCATCCAATTTGCTTTTAAAAACATGGCCTTCAGAGAAGGTAGTACCAACCTAAAGCACTCTCCAATATGGCACTGCTGTTTAATGGAGGCATCCATAGCTGAGGAATTATTCTATTCTGGCTTTGCCAGTTTAATGCAGGGCTCTTCGTTTTATCATTACTTAGACTGCACTTAGACTGAACATTCAGTGGAACATTTCCTATAATGGGATAAAGCAGTTGAACAATTTGACTGGCTAATAGTGATTTAGACATGTGATTACAGTACAGAAAATGGTCTGACATATGCTCTTTTATCTGGTTTACATGAGGCACATTAATCCAACTGGAAAACACAGAAGTGAAAAGGAAGATAGGACCAAGCATTCCGAATGGAAAAACAGAAAATAGTTTTAGTCGTCTTATTTCTGTATTTGCTAGGCTAGTTGTAATCAGTGTTTTGTAAACAGGAAAACTTACAAAATAAAACCATTTTCTTCCCGAAATGGATGCAACTACAAAGCACCAGTCTATACCTATGCTGCGCAGGTTAGAAAATAACTATTTTTTATAAAATCCTAGCTTCAAAATAATTTATGACTTATGTCATAATGCCTTTACCAAAAATACAGAATTTGCAGAAAGATGCAGCAGGACAGGGAGCACCACACCAGCCAGGAACAATCAGAGTGTGAACAAAGAGTATTGATTCATTTTAATTTTTGTCTCAGCTAATTTAATTTCCCAGTTATACACAAACACTTATAGTCACGTAAGGATAAACTTGTATTTTACAGGAATATTTTATTTCTTCCTAAACCTAGTCAACAACATTCCCATGACACCAAAAACCTAACTGAAGGCAAGGAATTACCTGTTTAGTACACACTTTTCCTCAAGAGTGCATACACAACGTCAAACTGGCCTAACAAGGCATGTCAATTTCACTCAGAACACTATTTCAGTTTTTTGTACAGACTGGTACATTTCAGTTGCATTTGTATATTTCTTCACAAACATTTCCTTTAAAACAAAACATTCAAAGGTTTCCTATGTGAGGTTTGGATTCTGCAAGTAAAAATAAAACTGAAGTATGTAAAACTAAGTGTAAAGGAGACGAACCCAAGAACTTCACCATGTGTGCGTTTGCCAACTACTTTCAACGACTGCTATATTAAAAATTCTATTAGGAAAACACACGAGATGATGAAAAGAGGGAGCTGTAAACAACACACTTTCCCCAAAACCAAAGGTGACACAAAAATCTTTGCAGGCAAACTTTCATCAGTGACAACAATAACAAAAAAAATAATGGATCCCGAACTAATGATAGCACTGTCCTGGGATACTTCTGTATTTGTAAAAACAAATGCATATAAAAGATGCATGGTCTTTGTATGTGTTAAGGTCCAGCCCAGCAGAATCCCTTATCATGTTGTGGACTTCCACTGTGACCTTACGGTCGGGCTTGACCTTAAAGGTCTTTCCCAACCGAAACGATTCCGGCACGGAAATTGGCAGCGATGTTTGGGGTGGGCGTTTAGGGAAGCGCCAGGACAAACACGGCAGTGTCAAACCGAGCGCGTCCCCCAAAACAAAGGGAACAACCTCTGATCCCCGAGGCTCGGACAGACCTCAGAGCGCTTTGGTCACCCCCGGGCGCTCCTTGGCCAAACGTGCCGCCCAGCTTTGCCCTATTACCGCTGCCATCAGCTATGCCAGGGCAAGCTCCATCCTACTCAAAAATAACCCGCGGGGAGCGCAGCCAGCACGGCAGCGGCGCTTCCCGGGAAGCGCCCGCCGGGGCCTCACCCCGGGCACCGCAGGGCAGCGGGGCCACCCCCGCTCCCTCCGCCGGGCTCCCTCAGCGCTGCCCTGCCCTGCCCGGCCAGGCGGGATCCCCGCCCGGGGCTGCGGGAGCGGGGCGGCCCCCGGGGAGCGCCCGGCGGGGCGGGGGGGGAGCTGAGGCGGGCGAGCACCCGCGCCCCCGGAGGGGAGAGGCCGCGGCGAAGGGAGAGCTGCCAGCGGCTGGGAACGGGCTCCCCCCGCCATCCTCCGCCCCCTCCCTCCGTGTGTTTGTTGTGCTCCGGCACCGTCCCGCCGGCGCGTCCCTCCGTGCGGCGGCCGCTGACAGCTCCCCCCGCGCCGCCCAGAAACTCCTGCCTCAACTCTGCGTGTGCGCGGGGGGTGCGGGGGTGTCCTCCCCGCCACCCGCCGGGAACGGTGTTTGCCTTCCCAAAAAGAGGAGGGGAAGGGGGGGGCATAGCAAGGGAAGGCGACGAGGAACTACCGTCAGCGCACAGGGAGTACCCGGGCGACGCTGAAGGCAGCCGAGCGTCCTGGAAGGGAACGGACCCAAAAAGAAGGGGGAAGGTGCAAAGGCAAGGGAAAAATGAGGAAGAGGGTGAAGGGGGAAGAGCTAAAGAGAAACTCTGAAGAAGGAGAAGAAGAAAGGAATAGGGGATGGTGGAAGAAAAGTAGGAAAGGGAGAGCAGGCGGAGGAAGACAAAGGTGAAAAAGGAGGAGGAGGAGGGGAAAGTGCAAAGGGGAGAGGAGGAGAAGAAAGAAGGGCCCTTCTCAAAATGGCATTAGGCAGAGGGAGGGGGCGACGAGCAGCGAGTCTCCACTGACAGCTCTGCCTGCGCCTGGCCGCCTGCCCCGGCCCCTCTCTGCCTCGCACACACAAACGCTGAACTTACTTCTTTCTGGCTCTCTGGAAAGGGGAAGCGCCATCTTTGCGAGGCCGGCCCCTAGGTCTTTTGTCTGTGGCTGCTGCTGCTGCTGCTGGGGGGGGAGCTCCAGGCTCGGGGGGCTGCTGCTGCTGCTGAGGCGGCTCCACCACCGCCACCACCAGACTCTTGTCCTCCGTTGACATCCTAGTCAGCAGGACGAGAGAGACACATGGATGATGATGATGAGGATGAAGATGAGGATGGTGATGGGGATCCCGATGCTCCTCCTGCTCCCGCGGCTCCTCTCCTCCTCACCTCCGCCTCCTCCACCTCCGCCTCGCATCGCTGGCCTCAGCCGCCGCCGACCAGCACAGGTAGCAGGGGGAGCAGCATGGGGAGAGCAGGAGGAGGAGGGGAGGGGGGGGGGGCGAAGAGAAAGCGCAGAGGACGGAAGGAAGGGTCTCACACACAATAACACCCTCCCCGGGCTCGGCGGGGTCTGTCGGGGCTGGGGGAGGTGAAGAGAGCGAGCGAGAGAGACGCGGCTGGGTCCCGCCGCTGGGCGCCCCTGCTCAGAGGCCCCGGGCGCTGGCGGCGGCTCCGGCTGCTGCGCTGCCCGGCTGCGGCGGCCGCCGCTTCATTGTACCCTGGCCCTGCGCCCTCCCCCCGCGCAGAGCCCCCGGGGGCGGAGGAGGAGCGGGCGGCGGCGGCGGAGGCGGCGGGGGCCGAGGCCGAGCGGAGGAAGTTTTGACAGCTCCAGCTGTTGTGTGTGTCGAGGGGCTGAGTCCGGCCGGGCTCCGCGTCCCCTTCCCAGCCGGGCCGGGAGCAGGAAGTTTAACTTTGGGGAAAGAAGGAGGAGGAAGGGTGAAAAAGGGGGAGGAGGAAGGGGGAGGAGGAGGCGGTGCCCTGCCCCCTCCCCGCGGGGTGGAGAAGGGATCCCGGCGCTGCCCTGGTGTGTAACCCCCCCCCCCCCCCCCCCCTCCCCCCCCGCCAGTACGACACATAGACACAGCGACCGCCCGCCCTCCTCCTCCTCCCCTGCCGCGGCCCCACACTGCGCCTGCCCCGCCCGCCCACCGCCCGTCCCCCGGCGCAGACACCCATCCGCCGCCTCGCCGACCTCACGGGCTGGGCTGGGGCCGCGCCGGGCTGCGGGGAAACCGCGGAGCGGGGCCCGGACGGGACGCGGCGCCACGGGGTGCTCCGCGCACCGCACCGCGCCCCGGCCGCTGCCCAGCGCGTTTCACCACCCTCTCTCCCCGCTCTTGTTATTTCTTTTTATTTATTTCCCCGTGGAAAAGGAAAAAAAAAAAAAATCCTCTTCTGGATGCGAGCGGCCGCTCTCCGCACACGGGCTGCGCGCCGCAGGACGCGGCTCCGGGGGCAGCGCTCGGTGCCCCCCCCGGCGGCGCTCGCTCTCCCCGAGCCCCGCGGAGCCCCCGGGGAGGCGGCGGGAGCGCTCCCCCTTCCCCCCGCTGCGCGTCTGCGGCTCGGGGCGGTGCAGGCGGGGGGAGCCGCGGGCGCCCCGGGGGATGGGAAGGAGGGAGGGAGCAGAGTTCAGCGCTGTGTGCGAGGGAGACAAAGTCTGGGGAGCGTGGCCGCTTTCCAGCAGCTCCGGCTGGAACAGCTGCGGGCGCTCGGGGTGGGGGGGGCTCCCCGGGCAGGGGCCCGGCTGGCTGGCTGCCTGCCCGCCCTGCTGCGGGGCGGGGTTAAGCCTCATTACACGGGATTTAACGTGTCCCGGAGGCCAGCGGGGACTCGGGCTCCGAGGGGAGGCGGGGGAGCTCCGTGGCCTTGCAGCCGGAGAAAAGTCCGGCCACGGTGCGAGGAAGCGGCCGCGCCCCCAGACTTTCCTCCCGGGCGCTGCCCCGACGCGCTCCGCTGCCCGCGGCGGGAGCGGCTCCAGCCGAGCGCGGCCGCCGGCCCGGGGCCCCCGCTCCGGGCACCGCCCCAAGGGCACCCCTGAGCCACCCCCGCGGGGCCCCAGCCCGGCCGTCCCTCCCTCCTTCCTTCCTTCCCTCCCGGGGCCGGAGCGGCGGGTGCGGCGGGAGCGGACTGGGGGCGCGGATGCTGAATCACGGAACGGGCCGCGCGGACGGGAGAGCAGCGCGGTGACTCGTGCTCGGCGGGCGGGTTCGGGAACTTCGCCGGACTTGCAGACGTGGTGGCGATTGATAGCCCCAAGGGTGCGAGTAAACACATCCCGAGAGCCCCGCACGGAGCGTGTTTCCAGTGGCTCTTAGGTTTCTGTTTGAATCCCGGTTGATAAAATGGCATGGGGTATCTATCATACAGGTACAAAGAGGGAAGGAGGGGCTGGTGTTAGTTGCTTTTTTTTTTTTTTTTAAAGTAAAAATAAACACAAAGCAATTCAGACCTTTCCCTTTACTGCTTTTCCTTCACTTGTCAGCATCAGAACACAAAATTAAATGGTATGCTGTGGCAAATACGACTTTTACTGGCCTGTTTTCTTCAGAACCATTTCATAATATAAAGCCTTTGTTGTTTCCTTTTTCTAGGCTTGTGAGTAATTAAATTAGACCTTTGTGACATTTTCACATAATGTGTGAAATACGTTAGAAAGTAACACATTTGTCTCCGGTTGTATTAATATAAAATTATATAGAGCCATCCTTATTGTTCAACCATGCAAGGAGAACAGCTGGATTGTTGGTATGGCTTTCTTGGACCTCTCACTGAAAATGTGCTCATTTATGCCAAATAAAAAAATACATCCTGAGTTAAATGTTTGTGCTATGAAATCTGCAAATGACAGCGTGGGTATAGTGCTCATACAGTTTCAGATATGGGATCTTAATGTGTTTACATGTTGTCTGACAGAAGAAAGTGCCTTTGAATTTTGTTAACTCGGGCAAGTTAGCGTAATTTAACTGAAAACATTTAATGCTCTACAGGCCCGGGCTTGGGTGGAGTAGAGAGAAAAAGGGCAAGGGAGAGGGGAGGAAAAGGCCACCGCCTTTGCACAGTGGGATCACTGGTGTGGCATTTGCTGGAGTTGCCAGGTTGCCATCTGGTCTACTACAAAAAATGGCCATCTCCAGAAACACTGGCTGTGCGTGAGCGGAGCCAGCGCACATGCGCCACAGCTTGGGTGAGCCTCGATGTGTCAGAACCACTCTGCGTGTGCAAATTGATTGGAGCTGTGACACGTGAGCACACCGTGGGCTCACATCAACTGCTCGGAGTGTGGGGAATTGCTGCCACATCCTGCAGCAGAAATGCATCCGGCGAAATCACCGGGTTCACTTGTCTGTGCGTGCTTCATCCAGCCTCCCATGGAAATGTTTTTTAATGCCTTTAGATTTTAGTGCCACAACCACCTGCAAGTGGTTGAGCTTTGGGATGTATGTCTTATGTAAAAACGTGTAATTCAAATTTTTGCCTCTTTTTGTTAATACATGAATTATATGTATATGTATCTAACACGATACAAATGGGAGTGGAGGCAGGCCTAAGTCAGCATTGGTGTAGCATGGTCTAGCACAGGAGCGAATTAGGGACTTATGAGTTCTGCTGCTGTCCCTTATCTCCTTACGTGTCCAAACACAGCTGGGCAGGTCTGTGCTGTGAACGGCTGCAGCCACTGCTGTGGCAATCAAAGGTGTGAAGAACTGGGTAGGACTGAGAGAGACTCGTGAGCAGGAACCTGAAACGGAGATGGAATTGTAGCAAACTCTATTTGCTGGCGTTATCTGTCACTCGGAGAAGGCAGAGGGACGAGCTGGGAGACGTGTCACCACACATAAATCCAGTGTGGGAGTGCTTTGTTGATTCAGGATATTTGAACAGTTCTGTCAGGAAAATTTTTACGTTTATACCTTGGCCACAGTAACCACCTATTATAAATTATCGCTGTCTGGAAAACACACATTTTTGCAGCAAATATGTAATATTGAATGAAGAGGTTGTCTGCTTTACTGAATGTTAAGAGATCCTCTAGTTCATTGTAAACTAACTCAGGTGAGCTGACACACCTGTTTTTTTTTTTAACTTTTAAGGGCAGGCAGCATTGAAACTTTGAACTAGAATTTTACATTTTAGCCTTCTTTAAAATAAACATTTCTGTAGTTTTGGAATTGTTTCTGAAATGCAAGTGAAATCCTTGCAGTTCTGATTAAACAGGCCTGTTAGTGGTTTTAATTTCAAAACATCCTAAATTGTCCCAATGTGCTTAATAACAAATACTTTCATAATAGAAAAGATTGAAGACAGGATGTTGTCTTAAATCAGCTAGTTAAGGAAAATGATCCTATTATAATTAAAGGAAAATGACAGCTGGAATGTAAATATCATTTTGCCTTTATAGAACTAAAGTGGTGTATGGAACATAGTAAGAAAATTATTCTGGATTCTATCAGGAATGAGATCCAGATACTTTCTGTTTTATGACATTAATTCAGAACTCTGCCAGTTTAATGATCATTCATCACTCTTCACAAACCAAATAAAAGTTTATTTTTTGTTCTCTTGTGTTTCTATTGCAGAAAAGTCCAAGTTATCACAAAGGCTGCATTTAAGCTACATCAGCAACATGCTAACATTTCAAATGTTCAGTATATTGAACCACTTTGTCTTACCCTGTGCTAAATTGATAATTGACTGTATTCAACATCTGCTTACTTCAGTGTGCTGCTCTGAAAACTGTGGACATTCCATATGGTTCTCCTTGTAGCAAACTTCAGGATGAAGGTGCAGAGGCAGCTGAGTGCAGCAACCACATCAGCTGCCTGTGATATTTATTTTACCTCTGCATTTATATTCACCCAAGTAGTTGAGACATAGCTAAATTACTGGATTTTTTCAGTAATAAAAAACTAAGTCCAGGACAATTCAAAAGAGTTCTAGACAAAGCCTAAATCAAGTGACAAAATCAGGATTACATCATACAAATACGTGACTTCTAGTTAATTTGTACTAAACTTGGCTGGACTACAAAAAAATGTTAGCATATGCTAATTGTCGTATGCTAACCAATGTGCTGTGGAAGCCTAGTTTTAAACTTGAAATGTTTGTTTCTTCTTTTCATCAGTTTTCCTTACTTGTCATCTCATGGATCTGCCTTACTGCAGGCAGCAGCACAGCCTGGGTAGTGGC